TAGCTAGCTAGATGGCTAGCTAACTGGAGTACATACTAGCTAGCTGTAAGACTAGCTAGCTGTGTGTTACGCCATCTGGAACTACAGCTATTTAGGTGGAAACCTTGCTAGCTAGCTAGCCAGACGCACTGAGGATCGAGGCAAGTCAACGATGAAATCCTTGACGGAGTAACGGATGAACTCATAGTCGCCCTGGCATTTGTCAATCACAGCCCGAGAAACTGCAAATACACACAAACACAAAAAAAAAAAAAACACACACACCACAAAATTAGGGTTTAGGGTTTAGGGTTTAGGGTTTAGGGTTTGGTGGGGTTTGCAGAGTGCATCCAACTGCCAAGCGTTGGCGTTCATGGACCCCTCCCCCCGCACCCTTCTCGTCAGCCGTATGATCAGACTTGAGGGTTTAGGGTTTAGGGTTTAGGGTTTAGGGTTTATTAGGGTTTAGGGTTTACTTTCTTTGTGGGGCCCCTCTAAGAGGCAGATGGCGACGTGAGCCACCGCCAGTCTGTCGTTCTNGGTTTACTTTCTTTGTGGGGCCCCTCTAAGAGGCAGATGGCGACGTGAGCCACCGCCAGTCTGTCGTTCTGAAGGTACCAGGCCAGCAGCTCGACGTGCTCGGTTACTAGCCGCGCATCAGCTGTCAAGTCACCTCCGCCCTGCTCACAAACCCTAAACCCTAAACCCTAGTAAACCCTAGTAAACCCTAGTAAACCCTAAACCATAGACCCTTGTCGATATGCGGAGAGAAGAACCTCTAAACACGAATCAATATACAGGGGAAACACTAAACCCTAAACAATACGCCATATACTCTGCATCGAGCATGCTATACCCACCAAACCCTAAACCCTAAACCCTAAACCCTAAACCACGTCTGCTTGTTTCCTCATGCGGATCGCTGCTGTGGCTAATCCTGGGGCCTCGGGGCCCTCATAAGGGGTCGATCAAAGGGTTTCCCCCAAACCCTAAACCCTAAACCCTAAACCCTAAACCCTCGTAGATGCTCACAAAGTCAGCAGACTGGTTAGATGCGAGAGAAGAGAAGGGGAGATGAGAAAACAGCAGCAGCAGCGGTGCTGCTGCTGCCGTAAGGAGGCGCCACATGGCTGGGCGTGGTGTTGTTGTAGGGTTTAGTTTCTTATTCCCTATTTATTTACTTTATTTATATTTCAAAATAAAAAGAAACAAACAAAAAAAACAAAAAAAACAAAAAAGCAGCAGCAACAAAAGAAACGGGGGCCAACGCCCGCCAGCAGCAGCGCCAATCGAGTCAAGCAACGCAGGGGAAACCCCAAACCCTAAACCCTAAACCCTAAACCCTAAACCCTAATTCTTTCAGCTGCAACTCTCAAGAGCTTCTCAATCCCTTAACACCCTTAAAAACCTAAACCCTAAACCCTAAACCCTAAACCCTAAACCCTTGCAACAAGCCTGGGGCTGCTGAGAGGACCGCCGCTGCTTTCCCAGCGGCTCCAGGCGAGGAGGTATATATAGAGCAGCAGCAGCAGCAGCAGCATCTGCTGCAGTAAAAAATAAAAAAATAAATAAATAAAAAGTAATTTAATTTTATTTTTATATATTCTCCTTGCATGCAGCTTTTTATTCATTTATTCTAGCCGCTGCTGCACCACCACAACCGCTCCCCCGAGAGCGAGCGCTCCACTGCAACGCAAACCCTAAACCCTCGCATAAACCCTAAACCCTAAACCCTAAACCCTAAACTATACACTCTAACCCTAAACCCTAAACCCTAAAACCCTAAACCCTAGACCTTTAACGCTGCACCGCACCCATCAAACCCTACACACTCTGCTGCAATACAGAGCAACTCAACGAGGGTTTCGGTTGAGGCAGAGGGTTAGGGTTTAGGGTTTAGGGTTTAGGGTTTACTGGGCCTCAGGAGAAGGTGTAGGGTTTGCTCGTGGGGTTTAGGGTTTACTCCTAGGGTTTTGAAAGATGTATACACCTTCGGTGCAACC